GAGCCCAGGCCTAGAGTTCAGGCCCCATGACCGACCAAAATAAATAAATAAATAAATTGTCCTTGGCCACTGAACTGACTTCTCAAGTTTATATTCTGATGTCTGCTGTAATGCAGAAACCATTTTCCTTGCTCCGTTCTCTCTGTTTCTAGGCTTCTGAGTATGAAGCCTTTTATGTCTAATGCAGCTTGTTTCAGCCATGTTGAGAGCTGTTGTGGCCTTATTAACAACAATGTGGGTAACAGTCAACTTTGTTCTCTGCCTTGTACTTCCTAGCATGTCAGAAAACTCCAGAATGTGCATTCCTGTGATTGGGGGAATGTTAGGATCCAAGAGAATGAGAGAGGAAACAGCTTTCCAAGCAGAGATGGTTCTTCCTATGTTTCCTTGTCCAAGCCACCCCAAATGTTGGTGAAAAAGTAAGACCACAGCTGGGCATCCCCGGGGACCTCAAGCCTGTAATCCTAGCTGCTTGGGAGGCCAAGATAGGAGGAACATGGTTAGAAGCCAGCCCAGGTAGAAAGTCCATGAGAATTCTTATCTTCATTTAACTAGCAAAAAGTGGGAAGTGGAGCTTTGCTCAAGTGATAGAGCACCACCAGCCTTCAGCAAAACAAACAAACAAACCAAAAAACCCTAAGGGTCAGTGCCAAGTATTGGCATGCAAAAAGAAAAGAGAAAAAGAGTGCTTGTGTGCAGCAAGTTTGGGTCCTCAGAGCTCACTGGAGCTTTCTGACATGCCAGGAAGTTCAAGCCCAAGGACTGGCAAAAACAAACAAATAAAAAAATAAAAAGCCCAAACGCTCTCAGTCTAATAGGGGACACCACAGCGCTACAGCATGCAAGGCAGGACATAGAATAATTCCCACTGGGAGAGGGGATCAGCCGAGTATTGTAATAAGAAGAGATCATGCTGCAGAGATCTGAAAAGGTATCTGCAAGTAATGAGGTATCTTTTTGTTTTGTTTTGTTTCATCTTGTTTTTGGTGCCAATACTGAAGCTTGAACTTAGGGCCTGAGTGCTGTCACTTAGTGTTTTTGTTCAAGGCTGGTGCTCTGCCACTTGAGCCACAGCTTCATTTCTGGTGGTTCATTGGAGAAAAGAGTCATAGACTTTCCTACCTTGGCTGTCTTTGAATCATGACCCACAGATCTTAGCCTACTGAGTAGCTAGGATTATAGGCATGAGCCACTGGTGCCTGGGTAAAGGAGTGAGTAAAATTTAAGGTGATCCTGAGGAAGATCAAAGTTGTAGTCATGTGTATGCAGTATGACTGGGCCTCTCACGTGGTGGGAGGGGGCCTATTCCAGCTATAACAGGTGAAGCAGAGCCACTGAAAGTTCTGTTAATATATGCTAGAGAGTAATTGCAATGGTGGATGAGGGACCGGTCACAGTGCTCTGATGACTGGGCAATAGAAGTTGGACTTAAGGAGGAAGGGAGGCTATCAGAAGGTTGGGTTTTGTGTGTGTGTGTGTGTGTGTGTGTTTTAATTATCTCTCATATTGGTATTTATTACATGAATAACATTTCTAGCCAAAACAAGTAACAAGTTCAGTAACTGAATTCCCATTGACGGGTTTCACTATGATTCATTAGCCAATTTAGAAAACACAAAAGCCACGCTATAAAACGATCCTCAACATAAAGAATAGTGCTGGAGGAATATCAATACCAAATTTCAAACTCTACTATAAAGCCATAGTAATCAAAACAGCTTGGTACTGGCACAAGAACAGACCTCAGGACCAATGGAATAGAATTGAAAACCCAGAAATGAACCTACAGACCTATAGCCATCTAATCTTCGATAAGGGAGCTAAAAAAATAGAATGGAAGAAAGACAGCCACTTCAGTAAATGGTGCTGGCAAAATTGGTTAACTACTTGTAGAAAACTAAAGCTAGATCCTTATATATCACCCTGCACTAGAATCAACTCCAAATGGATCAAAGACCTCGGAGTCAAAGCAGACACTCTGAAAACATTACAGGATGGAATAGGAGAAACCCTAGGTCTCCTTGGCACAGGCTGAAATTTTCTTAATAGAGACCCAGAAACACAACAAATCAAAAAATGTAGGACAAATGGTATTGCATGAAATTGCATGGCAAAGGACATAGCTAGCAAGATCAATAGAAAGCTCATGGATTGGGAGAAGATCTTCACTAGCCATACAACAGACAAGGGTCTCATATCTAAAATATACCTGGAGCTCAAAAAATTAAATCCCCCTACAACAAATCTTCAAAGAAACAACTGCCTAATAAATAAGTGGGCTAAAGACTTAAAGAGAAACTTCTCTGAAGAGGGAAGAAGGATGGCCAATAGACACATGTAGAAATGCTCAACCTCTCTAGCTATAAAAGAAATGCAAATCAAAACAACATTGAGATACCACCTCACCCCAGTTAGAGTGGCTAAAATCAAGAACTGTAATAACAACAGATGCTGGAGGGGATGTGGACAGAAGGGAACCTTATGCATTGTTGGGAGTGTAAACTTGTTCAAGCACTTTGGAAAGTAGTATGGAGGTTCCTCAAAAGACTCCACATAGAGCTCCCCTATGACCCACCAATCCCACTTTTGGGCATTTACCCAAATGTTTACAAACAAGACCACATTAAAGCTACGTGCACGACTGTATTTATTGCAGCATTATTTACCATAGCTAAGATATGGAACCAACCCAGATGCTCCTCAGTAGATGAATGGATCAAGAAAATGTGGTATATATATATATATACAATGGAATTCTATGCCTCCATCAGAAATAATGACATTTCCCCATTTGTTAGGAAATGGAAAGACTTGGAAAAAATTATATTAAGTGAAGTAAGCCAGGCTCAAAGAAACATAGGTCCCATGGTTTCCTTTATTGGCAATAACTAGTATATGACTGAGTCAAGCAGAAAAGGTCAGTTAAGTTGATGTTAGGGAAATGAACCCTAAGATATGTATTCAAATGTTTTTTTCTTTCATATAATTGTTTCTAACACATTATAAGATTATTTCTTTGTTGCTTTGTATGTCCCTCCCCCACGGTATAACCCCTGCTTTCACTGTATTTGATGTTGTTATAATTTGTGGAGGGGAAAGGAAAAAACAAATCGTTTAACTAGGGATACAGGTGGACCCATTGCAACAATGAGACGTACAAGTCGTTTTGTCGAAAACAAACTTTACAACTTTGGTGGTGGGGGGAGAAGGGCTGGGGGGGAGGGGATGGGAAGGGGAAACAAAGGAGGAGGCTACAATGCTTGATAAGAAATGTACTCATTATCTTGCCCATGTAATTGTACAGTATTTTCACAATAAAAAAAGCACCTTTTCCTTGCTGTATATAGTGTTTCAACTGAAACTCAAAGCTAATATTAGATGTTAAATCCACTTGGAGAATTCTTGTGGTTGTGGGTAGTTGTAAGCAGAGGATGATGGAAGCACTGATGGAAGGTAACTGAAGGAACGTGAAGGAAGCAATGGAGCCAGGGAGAGCAGCAGCTGGTGTGGAGGGCGAATGGATCCTTTTATTCATCTACTGTACCCACCTTCAGGAGTCCCGATGCCCAATAATCTGCAACATCTGAGCTCAGGACATTCATCATATATGATAGTTGTTGCTGGCTGTTTTGCCATGTGCAGTGTTAAGTACTCTGTATATTATTGTTCTTTTTCTCTAGGGGGCTGAGGGTTCTGACATTTGGACTCTAGAGCCTCATGTTTGTTAGGCTGGTGCTCTATCAATTGAGCTATGTCTACATCCCTGTTTTTACTGGTTGATATTTACAGTAGGATCTCACTTCCTGCCTGAGTGAATGCCTGAATGTGATTCACTTACTCTAGACTCCCATTCTTCCTGACATCACAGGCACACACTGCCCTTCATGTAGATGAAACCTTGCAGACTTTTCTGCCTGGATTGATTTGGAACTGTGATCCTCCTTATCAAACCTCTTCAGTAATTAGGATCGCAGGTCTCAGCATCTGGTACCCTGCTCATGATCACAGCAGCGTAATAATATATGGGCCATAATTTTCCATTTAATAGATGAGGATACTACGTGTAAGGCAAGAGATATGCTTTACTCAGGGCCACACAGCTGGCTGCTCAAATGCTGACTGGCCTGCAGAGCCTGAAGTCCTAACCCCAGAATGTAGTATGGTCTCTGGCTGTTGTGAGTACAGGTGTGTGTGAGTGCGTGGAATAGCCAGGCCTCCTGAAAGAGGAAGCCCTGACTACTCTTTTCAAGGGAAATGTGATGGTTCAGTCAGGCCCTAAAGGCCAGGAAGGGGTGGGAAGCCAAGTGATTCTAGACAGAGGTGCAGCACAGTCAGCTGTCCAGACTGGGAAAACAGCAAGGAGTAAGGAGTAGTCAGGGTCCCCAGGTTTGGGAGAAGCTGGGCCACAGGCAGGGCTGGATCTGCCTAGACTCTACCTTGCAGTTCATAGAACACTGTGTTCAGTAGCTAAGTCATGTAGCCAGCTTTGCTGTCTCAAATGTTGACAGAGGACAAGCTAATTGTTTTGTTCACTTCTGTCAGGTGTTTATACCTGGGCCAGGTGAGTCAGGGAGAAGCCCAGGACAATCCTGGTAAGGATGTGTACACTCCAGGTCCAGGCCTTGCTATGGAGTCTCAGTCTGATGGAGGGCTGCTGTGTGGGTCTATGATTCTACTCCATTTACATGTCAGTCATCCATCAGTTTCTTACTGAATACTAAAATGTACCCCAGGCTGGCTCTCTGCTAAGTACTTGACATTCTTAGAGGGAAGAACACAGTCTCTGGCCTTGAGGACTTGCTGGACTGCTGCTAGACACATAATTTCAGACATGACCTTGAGAGCACAGTAAAGGCCATCTGGTACCTTTCAGACTACCTTCTTCACTGCCACCTCTCTCCTTGCCTTGTTCTCATCCTGCTTTAATACCAACCTTTCAAGACCTCCATTTTGTCTGGGTTTGATCCTGGCTTTACTCTGATACTTTATTTATTTTTTGGTGCTGGTCCTGGGGCTTGAACTCAGAACCTGTGTGCTCTCCCTAAACTTTTCTGGTCAAGGCTAGAGCTTTACCACTTGAGCCACAGTTCTATTTCTGGGTTTTTGATGGCTAATTGGAGGTAAGAGTCTCATGGACTTTCCTGCCCAAGCTGGCTTTGAGGTATGATCCTCAGATCTTAGCCTCCTGAGTAGCTAGTATTTACAGGTGTGAATCCTCAGTGCCCAGCCTGGATACATTTCTTAATCTCTTTCTTTTGTAATTTCTTAAATTTTTTGAGGGGGGTCCTCCCTGAGGACTTGAGTTTTGGTTTTGGGCATTGTCTCAGACCTCTTTTACTCAAGGCTAGTGCTCTACCACTTGAGTCACAGCATCTTTCTCTCTTTTGGTGGTTAATTAGAGATAAGAATCTCACAGACTTTCCTGTCCTGGCTGATTAGCGATGACCCTCTCCAATAAAATGGACATAATTTTAGTACTTAGTACTTCATGTGATGGTTTTTAGGATTAAATGAGTTTATACACACACACACACACACACACACACATACACACACACACACAGCACTTGGACTAGTGTAGTGCCTGGTGCTTAGTAAGTGTGATAGAGATGCCATTGCTATACCCAGTGTGGGTTCTTTAACCTAGACCCTCTGTAGTAGACACACTTTAGAATTTACAGTTAGGGTTCAGCCAGGTTAACATAGAGGATTTTTAAAGTATAAAAGAGTAGATTAGACTAATGAAAAATTAGCTAATTAGGAGTACAAAGAGGGCTAAACCTGGGCTGGGAAGGTGGCTCAGTGGTAGAGTGCTTGCCTTGCATGCATGAGGCCCTGGGTTCGATTCCTCAGTACCACATAAGCAAAAAGAAAAAAGCCTGAAGTGGCGCTGTGGCTCAAGTGGTAGAGCGCTAGCCTTGAGCTGAAGAGCTGAGGGACAGCACCCAGGCCCAGAGTTCAGGCCCCACGACTGGACCCCCCCCCCCCAAAAAAAGAGGGCTAAACCTTTCTTGGATTGATGGGCCCTGTTTGCTAGAGGCTTGACAACTCTTCTTTAAAGTTCTTCATCAGAGAGAGGGCAGAGGATGCATTTTAGAGGCCATACAACTAGTTCAGGGCATCCAGACTTTATTTTCCTCTACCTCCCATAGATACTTCTTCAAACCATCAGATCCCTGAAGAATGTTTATAAGGTACCAAATTGGTACCTGTTCTCTTTGCTAAAAGATTGCTGAGGGCTGGGAATGTGGCTTAGTGGTAGAGTGCTTGCCTAGCATGGATGAAGCCTTGGGTTCTATTCCTCAGTGCCACATAAGCAGAAAAAGCCAGAAATGGTGCTTTAGCCTTTAGCAAAAAAAGCTAAGAGACAGTCCTTGAGTTCAAGCCCTAGGACTGGCAAAAAAAAAATCCTAAGAAAAATATTTTTTGTTGTTTTCATTTGTTGTTGTTTTTGGTTCTCTTACTGAGGCTTGAGCTCCGGGAGCCTAGACACTGTCTCTTAGCTTTTTTGCTCAAGGCTGGTGAATCACAACTTCTGGCTTTTATTTTTTTGGTAGTTAATTGAGAAAAGAGTTTCAGTGGATAGGAAATGTACTCATTACCTTACTTATGTAACTGTAACCCCTCTGTACAGTTATTTTACAATAAGAAAACATCAAAAGAAGAGAAATGTACTCCTTACCTTACTGATGTAAAAAAAAATGTCAATGGACTTTCCTACCTGGCCTGGCTTTGAACCACAATTCTCAGCTCTAAACTTCTTAAGCAGCTAGATTTACAGGTGTGAGTCACTGGCAGTTTTCATCTGAATTTTGAAGATCAAACCTGCCCTTCAAACAGTATCAATGAGATGCTTCTCCTTTTAAATATTGAAACCTGATAAACAAATTAGGGTGTTTATCTTCTTTTCCTGTTTGATTAACTGACCTTTATGACTGTATGCCTATTTAATATAGAATCTAGTCTAGTGTTTCATGGATAACCTCAGCCCTGGTGGGAATCACAGAGCCTGCTTTACCTAAACCTATTCAAACTAAAACATTTCGTGTGTGTGTGTGTGTGTGTGTGTGTGTGTGTGTGTGTGTGTCTGTGTGTGTGTGTGTCTGTGTGTGTGTGTGTGTGTCTGTGTGTGTGTGTGTCTGTGTGTGTGTGTGTGCTGGTCTTAGAGCTTGAACTCAGGATGCAAGAGCTGTCCCTGAACTTCTTTTGCTCAAAGATAGGAATCTACCACTTGAGCCGCAGCTCCACATGCAGTTTTTTGGTAGTTTGTTGGAGATAAGAGTCTTCGGACTTTACCTGTGCAGGCTGTGTTGGAACCCTGAATGTTCAGATCTCAATCTTCTGATTAGCTAGGATTTTAGATGTGAGTCCCTGGTGCCCAGCAACCCTTCTCTTTAAAACCTAATAAAGGGGGACTAATTTTTTTTCAAAATTGGTCAGATATGCACAAAGCATTTTTTTAAAAATTACCACACATCTCAGTGTGTTCATCATACACTGGAGCTCTGAGGAATGAGACTTCCTTAGCCATCTTCAGGACAGTGATGGAGGAGGCTCAGCCTCAGGTCATGGCCTCCATCCCCTCCTGGTTCAACTGAATGTCCAGGATACAGACAGGAGACAGGATGAGAAATGAGAAGGCGGGGCCAGTCAGAGGGAAACCTGGAGCTGGCAGCCATGTCTGCTGTCCAGATGGCTGTCCTCAGAGCAGCCAGTGACTGCAGACACCCTGACTTCCCTTGAAAATGGGGATAATACCAGAAGCCCCAGTGCTGCAGGGCAATAGGAAAGCACTTTGTAAATTCTGCAGTACCACTGTAAGTACTGAGAGAGGTTATATGTGTGCATGCCTTGTGTGATTGTGTGTATGTGTGTGTGAATGATTTTTGTGCTTATGTAAGTCCTGTAGCTTGAACTCAAGGCTTGTACACTGCCCCTTTGTTTGTTTAACCCAAGGCTAGTACTCTACCACTTTAGCCACAAGCTCCACTTCCAGCTTTCTAGTTAACTGGAGATGAGTCTTCTGGACCTGCATGTCCAGGCTTGGTTTTGATCCAGGATTCTTAGATCTCAGCCTCCTAATAGTTAGCCTTACAGGTTTGAGCCACCAACACCACACTGTGATTTTTTTATTATTATTATTTTTTTTTTTAAGGAACTTTTTTTTTTTTTTTTTTTTTGGTCCGGTCGTGGGGCCTGAACTCTGGGCCTGGACGCTGTCCCTCAGCTCTTCACTCAAGGCTAGTGCTCTACCACCTGAGCCACAGCACCACTTCCGGCTTTTTTCTTTTTGCTTATGTGGTGCTGAGGAATCGAACCCAGGGCCTCAGGCATGCAAGGCAAGCGCTCTACCACTGAGCTGCCTTCCCAGCCCCTTAAGGAACTATTTTGTGTGTGTCTTAGAGTACTGGGGCTTGAACTCAGGGCCTGGACACTTACTGTCCCTTAGCTTTTTTACTTAATGCTCTTGCTCTGTCCTTGAGCCACAGCTCTCCTAGTAGCATTTGGGTGGCTAAATGGAGATAAGAATCTCATGGACATTCTTGCCCTGGACTGGCTTGGAACCTCAATCCTCAGATCTTAGCTTTCTGAATAGCTAGAATTACAGGTGTGAGCCCTGAGAGCCTGGCTCAAGAACTAATCTTAAAGGCATTGTGTAAACTTGTAGAGGCTTCCATAGGTAGGTTCCCTTAGGAGCGATTCAGTAGACACACACTAGAGGAAGACACTTCTGTGCACTTCCATCTCTGCTTGAATGGCTCAGGACATGGAGGTCTTAAGTGGTCCCTCTCCCTGTTCCCTTGCTCATCCAGCTGTTCTTCCAGGTAAAGGGTGTTGAGTGCCCCTTCTGGTTCTGAAGACAGATAGCAAAACAAAGCAGTGGAGGGCCTTAGGTGCCCCTTCTGCTTCTGAAGACAGATAACAAAATAAAGCAGTGGGCTCACATGGTCATGTCACTGCCCTGGTTGTGCCAGCCCTTATCCAGGATAGAGGCACTTGATCAGAGGATCTGGCATGTGCTGTTCCAGAAGCTAATGTTCCAGAAGCTACTAAGGGCCAAGGCCTCTGCTTTGGGGAAGGAGGAGGATGTGGCAGGGCCATCTTAACTCTGCATACAATCCAGTTTCTCTTTGTCAGCTGTGCTTTGCCTAGCACTGGGTATATAAGGATTTATGAGAGAGCTGCTGTGGGTGGCAGTAATTGTTACCTCCTCTTCCTACTCCCCCTTCAGAAGTGGGAATAAAATGTGTTTGCCTCAGGCCTGCTCTTGCCTTGGCTTGCCATTGCTTTCTGTTCTAGATTTCCTGTGAGGGAGAAAGCAAGGCCAAAGCCTGGGCCTACCAGATTATCTGAGGTGGCACTTTCTGGATTATTTGAGGTCCATGTGAGTGTGTTTCTGGTTCCATCCCTCTCTCTGTCTCTTTGTGCCTATACTGGGGTTTGAACTGAGAGCCTGGGCTCTGTCCCTGAACATTTTTACTCAAGGCTGGTGATGTACCACTTGAGGTACAGCTCCACTTCCAGATTTTTGCTGGTTAATGGGAAATAAAGAGTTGACTTTCCTGACCAGGCTGGCTTTAAATTGTGATCCTCATATCTCAGCCTCCTGCAAGATATCTATAGGTGTGATCAGCCAGAACCCAACTCTGTGTGTGTGTACTGGGGCTTCATGCTCTTCTTTAACTTTTTTTTTGGGGGGGGGAGATTGGTCGTGGGGCTTGAACTCTGGGCCTGTGCACTGTTCCTCAGCTCTTCAGCCCAAGGCTACCATTCTACCACTTGAGCCGCAGTGCCACTTCTGGCTTTTTCTGCTTATGTGGTGCTGAGGAATCGAATCCAGGGCCTCATGCATGCAAGACAAGCGCTTTACCACTGAGCCACCTTCCCAGCCCCAACTCTACCATTTTAAACCACAGATCCATTTGAAGTTTTTTTGTTTTTGTTTTGTCGGTTGTGGGCCTTGAACTCTGGGCCTGGGCACTATCCCTGACTCTTCAGCTCAAGTCTAACATTCTACCACTTTCCCTGACTCTTCAGCTCAAGTCTAACATTCTACCACTATCCCTGACTCTTCAGCTCAAGTCTAACATTCTACCACTTGAGTCACAGCGCCATTTCTGGTTTTCTTGTTGTTAATTGGAGATAAAGAGTCTCAACCAATTTTCCTGCCCAGGTTCTCTTTGAACCATGATTCTCAGATCTCAGCCTCCTCAGTAGCAGAATTATAGGCGTGAGCCACCAACACTTAGCTCCACTTGCAGCTTTTGAGTGCTTAATTGGAGATAAGAGTCTCATAGAGACTTTTCCATCTGGTCTGGCTTCAAACTGTGATCCTCAATGTCGGTCTCCTGAGTAGCTAGGATTATAGGCACCCAACTTCCTCTAGTTCTCTTATTTTCTGTTGTTGTTGTTGTTGGCGGTGGTGGTGGTGGTGGTGTGTGTGTGAATTTTCATTTATATTGTCTAGGCATGTATTCTACCACATAAGTGGTGCCCCCAGTTCTTTTTGCCTTGGCTATTTTTCCAAATGGGTCTCTCTTTTCTCCCAGGCCAGCCTCAGCTTGTGATCCTCCTATTTGCACTTTCCATGTAGCTAGGAAAACAGGTATACACCAACTGGCATAACCTAATTTTTTTATAGGTTAATGTGAGCCCTTGAATTTTTTTTTGGGGGGGGCGGGAATGGCCTCCAACTGTGACCCTCTCAATCTCTGCCTCCTGGTAATTAGGATTACAGACAGAGTTAGCCACTACACCTGACTTTCTCACCTTTTTTTTTTGGTCAGTCGTGGGGCTTGAACTCTGGGTCTGGTTGCTGTCTCTGAGCTTTTCATCTCAAGGTGAGCGAGTGCTCTACCACTTGATGCTCTACCACTTGAGCCATACCACCACTTCTGGTGTTCTTGTGGTTTATTGGAGATAAGAGTCTCACAGACTTTCCTGCCCAGGCTGGCTTTGAACCTGGATCCTCAACTCTCAGCCTCCTAAGTAGCTGCGATTACAGGCATGAGCCACCAGCACCAGCACCTGACTTTCTCACTTTAAAGCTGCAATAAGAATAACTTGGAAAAACAGTTCTTGTTGTGTATAAATTGTGTGTGTGTGTGTGTGTGTGTGTGTGTGTGTGTGTGTGTGAAATAGCTCCGGATGTTGGGATGTACCACAGGAATAAGAAACATGTGCCATCAGCCAAAACTGGCAAACAGGCACACAGAACAGCAGGCAGGCTGCCCCCTGTTTGTCCCTATCCCAGAAAGCCCTGCCCCTCTGTTCACAATGGCTGAACTCAGGTCACAGTCTGCAAAAGGAGTGGCTTAATTGACATGTAAATAAAATTCAAGATAGGATGTCTTAAACTGCTCAGGAAATGATGCATGAAACTAAAATGTAATTAATAAGGGCCAAACCACTGTGCCAAAGGAGGAACTCTTCAGAAAAGCAGTTATCTTAAGATAAACATAAAGGAAGCAAACTACTTCCATAGAAAAGATGCTTTTCTCACATAAAGTCACTAACATCTTCAGTATCTATTTCATTGAAGGTTATCTTGGGAGTGCAGGTTGGATGGGCTGGGTTTTAAAAGATATATATATGTACACACACACACATATATACATATATATATATATATAGCAGATAGGTCTACTGTGTGTTGAGTCAGACTTTTTCTTAGCCTTATGATGCTGAATTTGGCCAAGCATCTGTGCTTTGAGGTAGACATGAGCTTCAGCCTGTTGTCCCACCTTCCATGTTTCAGGTTGATAAAAACAGCTCCTTGTCTAACTGTACAGTGACCAGATTTTATTTTGAAATTTAAAAATTTATAAAAACCATTCAGTGTTTTTGTGTGTATTGGTAAATGAAAGACTTTGGTTCACTGAAACTTAGCTGTTTTTAAGATTTTATTTTATATAAAGTGGTTTAAGTCAGCTTTTGGGACAGCCCATCTTTTTTCTTTTTTTAGTGGTGGTGGGGTGGAGGGTGGGGTGGGGGTAGGGGGTGGGGGTGGAGGGTATCAATTTTGAGGCTTGAACTCAGAGCCTGTGCTCTGCCCCTGAACTTTTTTGCTTAAAGATAACATTCTAATTCTTTAGTCTCTGCTCCACTTCCAGCTTTTTGGTGAGTGATAGGGTAAATTAGACTTTGCCAGAGAACCACGCAGACATGCAGGTACAGAGAACAAAGATAGGTTTACTGCCGGGAAAGGGGCTGGCAAAACCCTTTCTCACAAGGGAGAAGTGAAAAGATGCGCTGGCTTCTGACCTGTCTGAGATGACCTATATAACCTAGGAGGTTTAGGAGGGGCTAGGAGGTGGAGACCCTAGTGTGGACTTGTGAGGGCCAGGGGCTTCATGATGGTGGACTAGGATTTATGGCTGCTGTCCAAATAGTAGATAAGCTGCCTAGACCTGAAGGTCACTCTAAGTGGCTCTTGTTGCCCTTATATGGTGGTAGCTGCCCCAGAGAAGTGCCATCTCAAGTTTGTAAGGGGGTTGGAGGTTATTTACTGTCTTCATTAAATGTGCCTAATGTTGCCTAGAAAAGGAACATGCTAAGCTGTGAAGCGGGGAAGGAGTGTACTAAGCTTTGGGAAGGGAGCTCTCAGTCTGGGACAAGGTTCCCTTGGGCTATGGGGGAGGTGGTGACAGGCTCTGAGAAGATGATAGAATTTTCCTAGGAAGAAAGCTTTCTTACCTGGTAGATAAGTCTCAAGGAGTCCTTGGAGCTGTTGTAGAAGAACAGATAAAGTTGGATACTGGTAGCTCACACCTGTAGTCTCAGCTAAAGTGGAGGCTGAGATCTGAGAATCAGTTTGACACCAGCCCAAGCAGAAAAATCTGTGAGACTTCTCTCTGATTAACTATCAAAAAGCCAGAAATGGAGGTGTGGTTCAAGTGGTAGAACAGCAGACTTGAGGAAAAATGCCAAGTGAGAGCATAAGGTCCTAAATCCAAGCATCAGTACCAGTATTAATAATAAAAAAAGATATGAATAGACTCCTATCTTGAAAACAAGCAGGAAAACCAGCACTGGAAGGATGGCTCAAGTTGTAAATGCAGTGAGCCTGGAAGTGCTAGTGTCCTCCTTCTGAGACCTAGAAATTACTTGCCCAGCATCTTTGTTTTCTGAAGAGGTGTGTGTTGGGGTTCCTGCTCTGTCTATGAGACTTTAGCTGGGCTTTGGGTCTTCTCAGGCTTGTTTCTACTTCTATAAAATCCTTCCAGGAAACCTCTTTACATTGAGTTGCTATGGCTCCTTGGGCTCCTCTTGGCAGTGACAGCTTCTCAGACTGCCCTTATTTGGGGACAGCTTGGATGGTTTTGAGGAGCCCTAGTCAGAAATGCCTTAGAATCTGTTGGGATTCATCTCATGTGTTTTCAATTTGAGATGGAAGTTCATGGGTTTGGGAGAAGGAAACTAGAAAAGTAAATGCCTTTCTTAGCACAAAGTTGATGTATTTTTACTGTCAATTTCACCTTGATCACCTAGTCCATGGGCCTTCATAGTTCTCCAATGTCAGGAATCTCTTTTTTTCTTCCTTTTTAAAACTTTACTCCCCCCCCCCCCCCAATCTGTCTGTCTCTTTCTGTGCCAGTACTAGAACTTGAACTCAGTGCCTGGGTGCTGACCCTTAGTTTTTTCATTCAAGGCTGATGCTCTACCACTTGAGCTGTACCTCCAATTTGGGGTTTTGATGATTCGTTAGAGATAAGGACCTCACTAATGTTTCTATTTGTACTGGATTTGAATGTCTATCCTCAGATCTCAGCTTGCTGAGTAGCTAGGCATGACCATTTCTTATGAGAAGGTGTGGTGATGTAACACATTATTGGCTGTTTGCTGTGCACATGGTACAATGTTGTGTGGCACGGCTATGAAGACACGCAAGACATGATCTGTGCTCAGGCATCCCAAGTGTGAACTGCAGCTCAGATGTGTGCAACAGCACTCTTAGCGCACTGGGGAAGGTGCAGTGATAGTGTTCACAGGGGCTCCAAGGAAGTTGGTTACCTGACCAGGCTTTCCATTTTCTGACTTTATGCTTTAAGTGAATTTCCATAATTCCCTTCCATTCCCTTCAAACCATAACATTTTAAATGTTAAAAAAGAGAAAATTAAGGAAGCTAGCATATTTCCTTTGGAGACATGCCCAGAGACCCACCTTCCTTCCTTCCTTCCTTCCTTCCTTCCTTCCTTCCTTCCTTCCTTCCTTCCTTCCTTCCTTCCTTCCTTCCTTCCTTCCTTCCTTCCTTCTTTCCTCTCCTCCCTCTCCTCCCTCTCCTCCCTCTCTCTCCCTCTTTCTTTCTTTCTTTCTCTCTCTCTCCTTCCTTCCTTCCTTCCTTCCTTCCTTCCTTCCTTCCTTCCTTCCTTCCTTCCTTCCTTCCTTCCTTCCTTCCTTCCTTCCTTCCTTCCTTCCTTCCTTCCTTCCTTCCTTCCTTCCTTCCTTCCTTTCATCAGTTGTAGGTTTTGAACTCTGGGCCTGGACATTATCCCTCAGCTCTTTAGCTCAAGGGGAATGCTCTGCCACTTGAGCCACAGTGCCACTTCCGGTTTTCTGGTGGTTTATGGGAGATAAGTTTCACGAACTTTCCTGCCTGACCTGGCTTTGAACCGCAATCCTCAGATCTCAGCCTTCTGAGTATCTAGGATTACAGGTGTGAGCCACCAGCACCCTGCTCCATATACTTGAAGTAACAAAAGTTTCAGAGGAAGATGAGTAGTTGATTTCTAGGGGTTAGAAGAAGTGTGGGAAGTAGCTGGGACTAAAAGAAGGGATAGAGCAGGGATCTGTGTGGTTAAATTGTTTGGCATGTAGCTTGCAGTGATGCTAATGAGAATCTATGCCTTTGGGCCCCTATAAATAGGTTACATATCTGCAGATTCAGACAAATGCTACTTGGAAATACTTGATAAAAATGTCATCTATACTGAACTTGTACAGAGTTTGTGTGTGTGTGTGTGTGTGTGTGTGTGTGTGTGTGTGTGTGTGAGTGTTCCCCAAATAATATAAATATATGCCTAACAATTACACTGTATTGTGCATTATAAATAGTATAGTATAGAGAAAATGAAAGTATATGAAAGATCTCAGCACTGGTTGCTTATGTCTATAATCCTAGCTACTCTGGAGACATAGTGGAAGCGTTGATGTGTGAGGCTGATTAAGGCAAAAAAGTTCTTGAGACCTTATGTTTTCTTCCTTCCTGTCTTTCCTTTTGGCCTAAGACCAGGACTTGAACTTAGTACCTACTGATTTCACTTATTGGCCAGCCCTCTTCCAACTAAGCCACCCTTCCAAGCCCTTGAGATCCTATGTTGAAAAGAACTACAGAGGACTGGAGTTGTAGTTCAAGTGGTAGAACACCAGCCCAGCAAGGATGAGGCCAGAGCTTAACCCCTGGAACCACCCTCTTCCCACCAAAAAAACTGAATGAAAGGAAGTATGTAGGTTATATGCAAATATGACACCATTATATTATCAAGCGGTCCTAAAAGCAGTTCCCTGCAGATACTAAGAAGCTATATATTTTGGAATAAAGTTTTATCTATCTATTTAGTGTACACAGTAATGAGTTCATGTAAAACTGTTGAAATGTAAAGATTGGTGGATTCTGCCACAATTAATTATGCTTCAGTTATGCAAGTTGTTACTAGGAGAACCTGGGGGAAGATCTGTGGGATCTTGTCTGTGTTAATTTACTGATGTACCTGCCTGTGACTCTGTGAAAGTATCAAATGATTTAGACAAATAATTTATACCAAAAAAATTGCCATCAATCACTTTTTTTCCTGGGCTTTTCTTTGACCAGGTGATATGCTAATCATGCCAGATAAAGATGATCCTGAGATTCCAGGGATAACTGATAAGCATGTAATGACCTTGAAGATAGAAACTGAGAGTCAATGGACTGGAGAGTCTTGCCTGGGCTGGCCTCAAACTCTGATCCTCAGATCTCAGCCTCCGGAGTAAATAGGGTGAGTAAATAGGGTTACAGTTGTAAACCACTGGCATCCAGCTAGCTAGCTACCTTGCTTGCTTGCTTCCTTTCTTCCTCTCCCCACACTCTTATCTTTTTTAATTTGTGTGTTCTGGCATGGGGGCTTGAAATCAGAGCTTCACAGTCAAACTTGCTCCCTCCCTTTTCCCCCCACCTGGCACTTGAACATTACCTTTGGTTTTTGCTGCATAAATAAATGGAGATAAGAGCCTCACTAGTCGGCCAGGTGGCTCATGCCTATATAATCCTAGCTACTCAGGAGGCTGAGATCTGAGGATCACGGTTCAAAGCCAGCCTGGGCAGGAAAGTCCGTGAGACTCTTATCTCCAATAAACCACTAGAAAACTGGAAGTGGTGCTGTGGCTCAAGTGGTAGAGTGCTCACCTTGAGCTGAAGAGCTGAAGGACAGCGCCCAAGCCCAGAGTTCAAACCCCATGACCGATGGAAAAAAAACCCAGAATCTCACAGACTTTTCTGCCCTGCCTGGCTTTCCATTGTGTTCTTTAGATCTCAGCCCCCTGAGTAGCTAGGACCATAGGTGTGAGCCACCAGTGGCCCAGTGGCTTTCCCTTTGTTGGCAGTTAGTTGTGGTATATATAGTTCAAATTCATACTTCAAAATGTTTTTCAACTTAGAAAGATAAGGGCTACAGTTACATAAGTCAGTTAGAGTACATTTCTTCCTTTTTTTTGGACAGTTGTGGGGCTTGAACTCTGGACCTGGGCTCTTTCCCTCAGCTTTTCAGCTCAAGGCTAGCACTCTACTACTTGAGCTCTTCTTTCAGTTTTTCTGGTGGCTTATTTGAGATAAGAGTCTCACCAACTTTCCTGCCCAGGCTGGCTCTGAACCACGATCCTCAGATCTCAGCCTCCTGAGTAACTAGAATTACAGGCATGAACCACATGCACCAGGCTAAGAATACAGTTCTTTTTAGACAATGTCACCCCATCCTTTAGCCTTGTTTAGAGTGAGACTAGTGTAGCCTTCAGTCTTAAGAACTAGTTTATCTTTACTGCTGAGCCCTGATTCTTCTGAATTCACTTAGTCCTCAGATGTTCAATGAAGTCTGTTTACTTTGGTTGTTTAGAAACCAGATGTTTCAGCCTAGCTTGAGCTCTGTGAATTCTGTTGTATACTACTTACGCCAGTTCTTCTCCACACTGTGTGGCATTACCAAGTGCTTGAACAGTGTATTATACAGATAAAGACAGAAGGGCACATCTGTAGATTCTTGGAATATTTTACTTGTATAGCTTCATCCTCTGAAGTTTTCTGACTGACTTATATTGCCTGTGATTGTTCTGTTCTCTTAAGGTTCTCCTCTGTGTGTTGGGGTTTAGAACTTTTTGTCCATTGTCTAAAAATAGTTCCTTCTATTTTGTCTGGTTTTCTAGTTTCTGTGTAGGAATGCAAGTATAATATCAGCTTATTTATAGTATTTGAAAGCAAAAATTCTCTCCATAATAGAGTGTTTGATATAAAATAGTTAAATTACCTGATGTAGTAGTTGATCTAGTATAAGATTTTTAAAGGAAAACAGAACTGATTATTTTTGAAACATACTCATCTTTGTAATGTCTATTGATTCCCTTATTAATAATCAGCATAGTCTTCTAGGACAAAGTTGAGCTACAATTTACCAACAGTAAAACTTTTTTTTGCAGTATGACTTTGTGTTGAGAAATAAGTTATGTTTATACTATATAATCACAGTATATTGTGAAATACAGATACAGAATATTTCCTGTAGTTATTTGACTCACTGAGATAGAAGAATATTTTCCTTACTTGAGGGAGTTCCTTCATGCCAGTTTACTATGTGTAGATCAATACTTTTTTTTTCTTTTGCCAGTCCTGAGGCTTGAACTCAGGACTTGAATGCTGCCCCTGACCCTTTTTGTACTCAAGGCTAGTGCTCCACCACTTACTTGAGCCACAGCACTATTTCCTGAAAAGTTTATTGGAGATTAGAATCTCGTGGACTATCCTGCCTGGCTGGCTTTTCAGATCTCAGGCTCTAGAGTAGCTGAGAAGCTAGGATTATAGGCATGAGTCACCAGTCCATCACTGCCTGGCTTTTTTAACCTTAGTTTATTTAGCTCTTGAGCCACATCTTTAGCCCTTTCTTCTGCCTGCCTGCCTGCCTATCTATCTATCTATCTATCTATCTATCTATCTATCTATCTATCTATCCATCTATCCATCTATCTATCTCTATATCTATCTACAAGGAGCAATTTTAATTTTGATCTATGGTTTCAGAAAGGTTAGTTCATAATGGCAAGGAAGACATGGGAAAGCAGATTAATCATATCATGCCAACTAGAAAGCAGAAATAGCTTGTTCGTTTTTAGATCCGATCATAGGCTTTTTCTTGTGCTGCCTTTGGACTACAATTCTGTCTCTACTTTGTGAGCAACTGCAATTACAGGGGTAAACTGCATCTTTGGATTCTCTTTTCAGTCTTTTCACTATATAGCTTGAGCATCCTTCAACTTGATACGAATGTAGCTGAGGCTGGCCTCAGACTACAATACTCATGCCTTATCTGTGGAGTATTGGTTAAAGTATATATGGTTATACTTTAGCTTTTTGAAGTAATACTATATTTCTTAATTTTCATACAGAAAATTAAAACAATGAATTTTCATAATGTGAACTTGTGCAGACTCTTTAATAGATACTGTGCCCCTTCTTCAAGGAAGATGACTATAGTCCTAACTTTATCTTAGATTAATTCTGTCTGCTTTTATACTTTACATGTGTATAGTATATTTTATATCTAGTGTCTTTCACATGTTTTTGTATAATTTGACCATATTGCATTTTGGATGTGGTATTCCATTTTGTCACTGTCATATTTTTTTTACTCCACAGTTGGTAAGCATTGAAATAATTTCCATGTTATAGCTATTACAAATACTGCTGCTCTGAATATTTTTGTTTATATCTTTTTTGCCAGTCCTGGGGCTTGAATTCAGGGCCTAAACATTGACCCTGAGCTTCTTTTGCTCAAGGCTAACACTCTACCACATGAGTCACAGCACCATTTCTGTGTCTGTGGTACTGAGGAATCTAACCCAGGGTTTCATGCATGCTAGGCAAACACTCTACCACTAAGCTACATTCCCAGGGCCTGTATATGTCTTCTACCACTGCACATATGTAGCTATAGTAGATACTGGCCTGCAGTTTTACAAAGTGGTAAACCTACTATGTTTCCACATGTGCTGTGTATTTCTTCTGCTGTTCCACATTCTTCCCAGATCTTGGTATTGTAGGCCACTCTTAAAGAATTGAAATATATAAGTGGCTTATGCTTGTAAACCTAGCTCCTCAGGAAGTTGAGATCTGGGGATTGTGATTCAAAGCCAGCACAGGCAGGAAACTCTATAAGACTCTTCTCTTCCTGCAAACAAAGCAGGAAGTGGAGCTATGGATCAAGTGGTAGAGTACTATCCTTGAGCACATAAAGCTCAGGGACATCACCTAGGCCCTGAGTTTAAGTCCCTGGACTGGCACAAAAATAACCCACAAAATATGCAAATGCAGTTTCCCAGTATTGTAGTAATGACATAGTATGTTGATTTCTAGGGAAAGAGCATTATTAGTGGGAGTTTAGAGGTCTTAGAATTCATTAGGAAGAAGACAATGGATATAATAGCAGAAGGGTATCCTGGATTTAAAATGACCAAGGGTCTGATGAACTGGAATTCTATACTGTCTCAGGTACTGTTACCTTTACTGATTTGATTGCTCTTTTCTGTTTGTTTGTTTTTTTTTAATTTGAATATTTGCTTTTGTTACCTTGGAACTTGGTTAGTGTTTCCTTGTAAAGATTTTCAATGCTTTATAAAATTAAGGCTTTTATTTATGGGTTGGATGTGCAGTGAGAGCTCTAAGGCTTAGACAAAAGGCCAGCTCTTTTCTTTCTCTAGTAGCCTGTCAGTGCAGTGTAAAATCCTGAGCACTATGAAGATTACTTATTATGTTATGAAATCACTTTTGGAAATGAATGTGGCTCCTTGGGTGATGCTGTCTAGCAACAAGTTATGTTTGTTTCTTTTTTTTCCATGCAGCTCCTGATCCTTAGTGAATTTGATTTGCCATACCAAGAATGAAGGACAGCACTCTGTACTGGAGCTTGTCTCAGCTTTGCTTCTCTCCACTCTTAAAACTTACCCTTGAGCTCTTACTATTTGCTGCATCTTTGTTTCCATCTCTTTTTAGGTTCTATAAGAGGCAAAGGAGAAAGAAGAGCTAAGAACCTCCAATGAGGTAGCCATGGAAACAGATAAGAAAACTCATTATGGTCTACTCTTTGATGAACTTCAAGGCCTTCACATCTAGAAGCTCTGGAGATGATTTCCCAAGACAGTGAAAAAAAAGGTAATTCCAATCCCAAACTCCCAGCTGAAGAGAGTCTTCAAACAAGAAACATTGCATGGTTTCTTTTCTCTTTTTATATTTTGAAGATGAAATGTATCTCCGAAGAAGGCGTAGGTCTCTGTAAATGTTATAACAAAAGAAAAATATCCCTTAATGTTTAATTGTTAGAAAAAATATTGAGTAAGTCAAATGTTATTTCTCTAAAATTATAGAAAAAGAACAGAATAATGAAGAGGTCTTAACACCGCCTATCTTTTTCTTTCACCTGTCTCATTTTCTGTTTTTTTCTTCAGTGTCATGGGTTTTAGCTGTCAAAAAGCATGTTAACAGCTACTAATTTGTATATAATTTCCTGTTAGTTCATCTGCTCTAATAATCTAAGCCATTTTCTTTTTTTTGTCAGTTGTGGGACTTGAACTCTGGGCCTGGGCGCTGTCCCTCAGCTCTTCAGCTCAAGGCGAGTGCTCTACCACTTGACCCCCAGCACCATTTCTGGTATTTTTTCTGGTATTTTATTGGAGATAAGAGTTTCATGGCTTTTCCTGCCCAGGCTTCTAAGCCATGCTTAAGCACTGATGATTTTCAGTTATCTCTGGCCTATATTACTTTTAGAAATGTAGAGTCAATTTCTACCTTCCTATAATATCTACCTTATTGTGTTACACTTATTAAAAAATAGCTCTGGCTCTAATCCTAGCTCAGGAGGCTGAGATCTAAGGTTAGCTGAAAGCCAGGTCAAGCAGGTTATCTCTGATAAACCACTCAGAAAGCTGGAAGTGGCGCTGTAGCTCAAGTGGTAGAGCACTAACCTTGATCACAAAGTGCCTCAGGGATAGCACCGAGGCCCTGAGTTCAACACCTAGGACCAACACACACACACACACACACACACACACACTCACTCACACATGTGCATGCATGCACACACAGAGCTGTGTTGGCAGTGAGCTGTTCAGTTTTTTTCTCCCTGTAAGATTTTTTTTATTATTTCCACAATATTTTATTATGTTCATTCAGGTGAAATCTGTCCTTAATTCTCCAGTAGAGAAGAATTAGAGGCTATCATACTTGAATTAGAACTACTCAAAGAAGCATTTTTCTAGCAGAATTTGTGAGGAAGAGGAAGAAGAGAAAAATGGTAATATGACAATTCAGTATCTGAGTGGGAATTTATATGTATTTATTTGTATTTATATATAGTGTTTTGCCTTTGAAATAAATTATTCCAGTTTACTCTGTGTGTGTGTGTGTGTGTGTTTGTGTGTGTGTGTTTGTGTGTGTGTGTTTGTGTGTGTGTGTATGCTGGTCTCAGGTCTTGAACTCAATGTCTGTTTGCTGTCCCTAAGCATCTGTGCTTAAAGTTAGGGCTATATGAGTTGAGCCACACTTCTACTTCCAACATTTTTTGTGATGAGAGGTAAAAGTTTCATGGAGTTTTCTTTCTAGACTGGCTGATCTTCAGATCTCAGCCTCCTGAGTAGCTAGTATGACAGGCGTAAGCCACCAGTGCCCTGTTTTTCACTCCTTTTTGCAGTGAGAATTTTCATGTAGAATCCTTTTTGCAACTTTGTCCCTGTCTAGGTGTTCAGACATGTCAGCCTCTTGCCTATGTCTTTTTTTTTTTTCCTGCCAGACTCCTCTTAGCATCCCCCAGACTGATATTGTTCATATACCCCTGCCACTGTTTACAGTTAAAGAGTGCTCTTGTCAGAGTTTGTCCTCAGTTTGTCTGACATTTCTTTATATCTCTGGATATTTCATCTGTGCCTCGTGACTTGTGGGACCCTTAATCCCATCTTGAATTGAGGCAGGCAAGGTGGTAGTACCTAAAATGTGACTGATAGTCTTCCCCTTCCCCACCCCCCTCAATTTAAAGCCTGAATCTCTTAGGAAATATGAATGTTGATGCTGTTCATTGTTACAGTAACTAGGTAATTTGGCAGTTTATACAAAATGTAATTCCTGGACAAACAAATCTTAAGGGTTTAATTAGAAATCTTAAAATTTAATTAGAAATATTTCTAACACATGTTCTTTGCTAATTGGCTATTTTAAGAAAGTGGAATCCGATGAATTCAGTTTTGTCTTTCCTTTTTTTGGGGGTCTGGTCATAGGACTTGAATTCAGGGATTGGGCATTGCCCTAAGCTTTTTTTGCTCATGGGTAGTGCTTACCACTTGAAGCACTGCACCACTTCTGGCTTTTTCTGAGCAGTTTATTGGAGATAAGAGTCTCACAGACTTTCCTGCCTGGGCTGGCTTCAAACCACAATCCTTAGATCTCAGCCTCCTGAATTGCTAGGTTACAGGTGTGTGCCACCAGTGCCCTAGCCATTTTAACTACTTGCTTTGCCATGGAATGCCATTTTCACTCTGAAGTATAGGTGGTCACAGAGACTAGAATTCTGTTTAGTGAACATTTCTTGAAAGTGAATGAAATAAGCCTTTATGTCAAGAAAAGCAACTATGTATGAGTCATGATAAACATTCAAACTAAGTTTTAATTTTGTAGAACATATTTATTGCTTTGTTGAGCTTTATAGTTTCCCAGCGCAGTTTATAGACTGCTGATGAAATCTGTGTTGATAATCACAGCTGTATTCATTTATTACAGGACAGTTTGTCAACATTTGGAAGATTCATATAACTCAGAATGATTATTTTCCCATCATTTAATGTGTGATGTTAGCAAATCATGCATGGGCAAAAAAAAAGACTAATGGATTTTAATTTAATACTTTCAAGCAGAAAATCATATGGTATACCTTCAGGCTCAATGCTCTGTATCTCATTACAACTAAACTTTAAGAGATGACAACTAGTTTAGTTTTAGTGTAGTATTAAGGAATATGCAAGCATTAACTTTACTGATAATCTGATAATGCTACTAAAATACTTCTTCCCTTTCTAACTAAGTGATTTTGTAAGGTAGATTTTCTTCATATACTTAAAACAATATATCCCAACAGACTGAGTGTAAAAGCAGATAAGGGAATACAAGTCTCTTTCACTAGGCTAAATGATAGAGATTTATTAAAGATGTAAAACAGTGGCATTGTTCCTCTGAAATTTTATCTTTTTGGAAAATATAGTTATTTTTCTATAAATGTATATTAACAAGTAGTGTGTTTTTTTCTTAAGTTTACCAAACTACCATAAGCATTTCAGTTATAATTTTTCTTTTGTTTGGGTTGTGAAACTAGGACTTGAACTCAGTGCTTGATGCATTGCTCATTGGCTGAGTTCTACTTTTAATATATCTGTTTCTCTCTCATGTGTGTGTGTGTGTGTGTGTGTTTGTGTGTGTGTATTCCCTATTTTTAAATTTTATTTATTTATTTTTATTTACTTCTTTATTTTTTGGTTGGTTGTGGAGCTTGAACCTTGGGCTTGGGCACTGTCCCTGAGCTCTTCAGCTCAAGGTTAGCACTCTACCGCTTGAGCCACAGCACCACTCCGGTTTTCTAGTGGTTTATTGGAGATAAGTATCTCACAAAAAAAAAATTTAAAAAAAGTCTCACGGACTTTCCTGCCTAGGCTGGCTTTGAACCATGATCCTCAGATCTCAGCCTCCTGAGTAGCTAGGATTACAGGCGTGAGCCACCGGCACCTCACTAAATTTACTTATTTTTGTGACAGTATCTAGGTATTGATCCTGAGTTGCAGTCTACCACTTGAGTCACGGTGCTGCTTCTGCCTTTTTCTGAGTAGTTTATTGGAGATAAGAGTCTCATCAACTTTCCTGCTCCAGCTTGCTTTTAACAGCAATCCATAGAGCTCAGTCTCCTGAGTGAGTAGCTAGGATTACTGGTGAGAACTACCAGTTCCTAGCTCTACTTACATTTTTAATTAGCTCTTTGGGGACTCTCAAAATTTTAAGAGTATTTAGAGGTACTGAGACTACCATGTTTGAGAGCTGCCAGATTAAATTTTTCCAAATGTCAGTGCTTTATAAGGTGGCTCTGATCTGTTGATCTTTTACTTCTTTGAACTGTCAGTGTGCTTGCCACTGATATCCTCTAAACCTCCTTTGTTTTTCTTTTTTTTTTAATTTCTAATTTACTGTAAAATAACTAGTCTTCAATTTTTCTATGGAGAGAGTGAACATCTATTGCTGAGTGAGGGACTTTCCTTAATCTTTGAGAGTGGATTTTATGCAGACTGGGATGTTTTCTTTTTCATTTAATTGTCTTTAGCATTGTGTTTTAAGAAGTCAAACTGGATAGTTGTATAAAATCACACTAATAAATGACAGTATACCCTATGTAAAAGCTTAATTCCTTATTAGAAAATGTTTTCTGACCAGGTGCTAGTGTCTCAGGCCTGTAAACCTTGCTACTCAGGAAGCTGAGATCCTAGGATCTGGGTTTGAAGCCAGCTCACCAGCGAAGTCTTGTGAGACTCTGATCCCCAATTAACTACCAAAATCCCAAAGTGGGCTGTAGTTCAAGTGATAGAAAGTTAGATTTGAACTGAAGAAGCTCAGGGACAGTACCCAGATCCTGAGTTCATGCCCCTGGACTGGCACAAAAAGAGAAAAAAAGAGTTTTTTGAACATACATTGTTAATGTTGTTCTGAAGTATTGAGAGGGCAGCTAACCATGAGGGGCTTTGGAGTTATCCACGGTGTCAAAATGAAGATCTGTCATTTACTAAAGCCATGTGACTTGAAAAGTTCCTAGATACTGAGCTGTTCTCTCACCTATAATACCTTACAGGTTGTTAAAATAAGTACTAAATGAAATACTGTATTCAGTATGTGGCACAGTAGTCATAACCAAAAGATGGTAATTATTTTCATGATCCAAAGATATAAGTACATAGATAAAGAATCTGCCTTTTAGAAGTCTTACCTTAGGAAACACATAAAGCCATTGTGCCACAGTGTGCCCCTTGTGCCACATGCTTGCTAGGCAAGCACTCTACTGCTAAGCCACATTCCCAGCCCGAATTCCATTTTCTTTATACAATATCTGCCTCACACTCTCCATGCTTTA